CTATATCAAACCCTGCTCCAGTTAACAGTGGTGTCCCCCAAGGCAGCATTCTAGGACCCACACTCTTTATACTCTATATAAATTACCTTTGCGGTCACCTTATAAGCAACTGCATCCTCTTCACGGATGATGTAAAACTATTCAACACCACTGACAATGCTACTGTTCTTTAAAGTGACCTTGATTTTGTGTCTGAATGGTCAAACAATTGGCAACTCCAAATCTTAACCAACAAATGCTCTGTCCTACACATTGGTAAAAAAAATCAGTACACCAAATACAAGCTAGGTGGATATGACCTCATTGACGACCCTCACTCTGTCAAGGACCTCAGAGGACTCATATCTAATGACCATAGCTCACTGTAACAGCATTGCCAAAAAGGCATTAAGACTTGTAAATCTCTTACAAACCTTCTCCTCTGGAAATATAAAATTGCTAACTAGGGCATACAAAACCTTTGCTAGACCAATACTCGAATGCAGCTCATCTGTCTGGAATCCGCACTGTATATCGGACATTAATACAATTGAGGGAGTCCAGAAGTATTTCACGAGGAGAGTACTACACTCCTCTCCTCGTAACAAAATACCCTATATCACAAGGCTTGAAATTTTGGGCTTGGATAACCTTGAACTACCCCACCTATGGTTGGACTTAAGCATAGCACACAAAATTATCTGCTACAATGTCCTACCAGTCAATGACTACTTCAGCTTCAACTGCAACAATACAAGAGCACACAACAGATACAAACTCAAAGTTAACCGCTCCAAACTTGATTGCAGAAAGTATGACTTCAGCAACAGAGTGGTCAATGCCTGGAATGCACTACCTGATTCTGTTGTTACATCCTCTAACCCCATTCCTTTAACCTCAAAGTATCCACTACTGACCTCACCCCATTCCTTAAGAGGTCTGTAAGGGTCGTGCATAAGTGCGCCATCGTGCCTACCGTCCGTGTCCTATTGTCCCCGTTTATTCATACCTATTTTCTGTATTCTTACTCATGTTTATACTTATACCTATTATCTTGTAAGCGATTGACAAATCAATTAAATAAATAAAGCCAGCTTGGTGCCTCTGTTAGCCCAATTCACCTCACAGGGCTATTGTTATGAGGAAAATAGAAGGCAGGAATATTAAGTATGTTCATCACCCTGAACTAATCAAAGAGAAAAAAAATTAGTAAGATAACAGCAGCAGCAACTCAATCCCATGGAATCACTGTTTCAAGTGCTTCTACTATCTTGAAGTAGGACATTCTGATTCTTACTTTAATGAGGAAAAAAAATAGAACTGAGTGATGCTAAATGCTAAATGCTAGACATGAGAAGACAGGAGGGAGACCTATTATATGGGTAAGAGTATTTTGACTGAAAAGAGTATTTTGACTGAAAACTGAAAGGATTTTGGCTGAAGCATAGCCTAGAAAGGAGCTATTAGAAAGAAGGGAATGGTAGGTAGAAAGAAATGAAGAAAGCCAAAAAAAAATACAAGACAGAGAATCAGATGCTGCAGCAGAAGTTAGAAAATGAAAATATGTGAACATTTATAGAGAAAGTTAGAGGAAAGCCTTTTCATGATCTGAAACAGATGTGCTATTTGGCAAGTTCTGACCAGTTCTGGAGAACCACTAGTGGAAATTTTCAGCAGTTTGGAGAACTGGCAAATATCATCTCTGACTGGAGATTTTACAGTATCCTTCCCTTGCCACTCCCACCAAGCCACGCCCACAGAACCGGTAGTAAAAACAATTGAATCCCACCACTGATTTGAAAGTAATGGCTATATTTTTATAGTAATGGCTATATTTCCCTACCAAGAACTAGATGCACGATTTTCAAATGCTGCATAGGAATGATCTTTTTTCTTGTACACCATCTGCTGGGCATAACCTGAAAAGAGACAAGATAGAGAGAGCTGTGAAATTTAGCCTTAGTCACACTTGCATACAGAACAGTTTTGCACTCTTCTTTCTCTGCTGTGTGCCTCATTGGAGCTGTTTTTCCTTTGCACAATTGTTTTGGTTTGTGTTCTTGACTCAGTGTAAAACTATCCCACTCTGCCATGAGATTCTGAAAGCAAGCAACCTTAACAACAACAACAACAACAACAAAAGGAGCTGAAGACTGCTGTCCTGTATTCCTGAAAAACAAGCATTCAATAGCAGAACAATACTTCTAAACTCACTACAAAAGACATGAAAATGTCTTTCCTTTTATAGAATATTGTGATAATTCCATGAGTCCATATTTAAATATTTCTCAACAGTTACTATGACCACCTCTAGAAGAAGCGATAGCTAAACGAGCAGAAAGCTACCTTGTGAAAGAAAAACAATAACAACAATAACAACACCATACATTTAAGAACACTTGGCTTCTTGATTTCTGTGGGTCTTATATTGGTTCATTTTAGGGATTAATGAAACTGACATTTCCATCCCCTGAGGAAAACAAGTCTGGAGAGAATTTGCCTTACCTTTCATGATCTGTTTGACAGCTTCAGTCCTGCGATCCACGCCAAGATTCTCCCACTGCCCTGTTGCGTCCAAGTAATAGGTGGCAATGACCGATGGAGTCATGGTGATCATATTTTGCTCCCCACAGCCAGAAGGAGTAATAATGAGATGATTGAGTTTACTTCCATCAATTGAGTTTTCAATAATCTGAGCCACAGGGTCACCTGAATGTGAAAAAATTGCCACACGTGTTAGAAATTAGATAGTTTATGGTCTTGCTTTAAGCTTCAATATCTTTAGGGCAAATGATTAGTCTAATCTTGCTTCCAATTCCACTACCCTTTCTTTAGAGCATTGACCATAGCATAATTAGGTTCCATCCAGGACTAATTTGAAGGTTTATTAACTGATTCATTTATTTCTGTTTCAAGATTCTTTAGCAGTTCTGGGTGGCTTACAGTTAAAAAGAAGAATCAATATATATAGAAAAGGATGCAGCTGACCAAAAGATTGTCAGGCCTGTCCTAGATTGAGCATTTAGAAAAGAAAGACCCTCAACTTCATTTGCAGTGAAAGGTATACTTTTACTAAAGCCAAGTGGTTACCCTCCAGTCATCTTAGTAGTGTCCAATAAAGTTTAAATTAGTTGTTTTGGCAACAATTCTGAGGTTTGGTGCCTCTTTGATAGGTGTTCGCATTCTACTTCTATGCCTGTGTCCTTGAATCGTTCAACCAGTGTCTCTGGTTGGCACTTCTGGTTCCTGTCATACCCCCTCCCTGCATTCACCTTTCCCTCCCCCCATACTTTATGGCAGGCTGCCATCAAAGTGAAGTAGGGTTGAAGCAGTGTGTGGGCAGATCTGGCACTAACTCAATATCAGTAGAAAACCAAACTTTTGCAAGGACTCCACAAGGAAAACCACCTATTTTTTAAATGACTTTCTGAATGTCATTAGAGTTGGACCTGTGTGGATCTGGGGGAGAATGGCATTCCAGAGGGCAGACACTGAGCAGAGAAGAAAAGCTTTCTATAAGATTATGCTGTTTAAACAACAGGACTTGGAAGACATTTATTTTATTTTTTTATTTTTATTTATTTTGTCAAGCAATTATAAGATAACAGGCATAAGTATAAACATAGTTATGGATACATGAAATACATACATATCAGAAAAATAAAAAAGAAACAATAGGACAGGGAAGTTGGTGCGCTTATATATGCCCCCTACAGACCTCTTAGGAAAGGGGGGAGGTCAAGTAGTAGACAGTCTAAGCTTAAAGTTTTGGGGGTCTGGGGAAGAAACCACAGAGTCAGGTAGAGTATTCCAGACATTGACCACTTTGTTGCTGAAGTCATATTTCCTGCAATCAAGTTTGGTGTGGTTTACCTTGAGTTTGTATCTATTGTGTGCTCTTGTATTGTTATGGTTGAAACTGAAGTACTCATTGACAGGTAGGACATTGCAATGTATAATTTTATATACTATACTTAGATCCGACGGAAGGTGGCGTAGTTCTAGGTTTTCTAGGTCTAGAATTTCAAGTCTGGTGGCATAAGGTCATCCACTTTGATCTCACCAGATGGGCAAAAGTAATAAGGTTAAATGTCAGAAATGGGACAGATCTACTGTAACTGTGAATCCAATAAGGAAGGTTATGATCTATACTCCATCTATTCAGGGACAAAAAAATAGGGAGATATTGTTCTATCAAGTAGATGGTAACAAAATTGGGCTGGTGACTATTTCATCTTCTAAATTTGATAGATGTAGGAGCCTGGGTTTCAAATAACTAGTTCTTACCTAGAACAGAAATCTTGGTCTCAATTTCTGTTTCAGGCACCTTGTCATCTAATTTATTGGCTATGACCCTTTGTTCCTGGGTTCCATCTAAAAAATGAAAAAGAAAATGAGGAAAATTACAGGAAAAGAAATACCACATTACACATTAGAGATCTCTTTGACATTATTTCTAATAATCATTTGTAAATGGAATTCAACACAATTATTTTATTAAGCACTTAACAGAAAGCAATATAATTGTCTTAAGCACATAACGTTTGCAAAATAAAATAACTTTTATTTGCAGCTGGCATGGTAAAAAGAGCCTCTCTTTTCCCTGGAAACAATAAAGCATGTGGGTGAAAAGACTTAGTAAAAGGTATAATGGGAATTAATGAATAAGAATGAGAGTTACTCACCAACTCCTTTTACCCTTGGGTCCAGTTCAATAACAGTCACAATATTTTTCCGTTCCCCTTCAGGCTGTTATAGAAAAAGACATCAGAATACTCTTTTCTGAGAGCCTCGTTGCAAATCAAAATATCATGCATGACAGCAGCAAATACTTCAAAATGGAAATTACAAATTAAAAAGACTCCTCTGTAGCATCTCTTAGAAATGTAGTAAAATATTCAGAATTGGTACTTGGATGCACAATAGGAAAAGACCTAGGTCACCCTCATATCTTCTCAATAGCCAAATCAGCACAGCCCTCTATTAAGGATTAATTTCTATTCCACCAGTTCACATGGGCTCTTAATGGATCCTTGCCCCTTCCTAGAGCTGAATATCCTGGGAGCCCTGGGCTTCCTTATCTCAGATTAAGGGTGAATGGGCCACAATGTCTCTGGTCACGGAAGAGATTCTTACTTATTCTTACTATACTTTCTTCCTCTCCAATAACAGCTGCTGTATGTTATGTGTGTAGCCCTGCCTCTCACAGAGTGATGTTCCATATATCCGATGAAGTATTGATGATAAAAACATTGCCAGTCTTTAAAATGTTGCAATGCTGATATGACTTTTGTTGCACAAGAGTAACACTCCTCGTCCTCTAGAAACAGTTTAACAATGAAGTCAGCCCTGTTGCTATTTGGGCTTAGTCTATCTTGGGTGACTTCCAGATAAGTTAGACTTGCCTGTGGTGATTGTGAATTCTGGGATATATCTTGGGATCTATTGTCCCAGCACTTGCTTTGGTAAGAGTCCCAAAGGGCCTAAATGACAGGAAGCATCATCCAAAACGATTTTTCTCCAGAACTCACTGAAATTCGTGGGGGTTTATGATTTTCTCCAAATTTTCTTTAAAATTTATGTTATTATTTTACTATTTATACAAAATACAATCCTATGCCAACCCATTCATCAATCTGTTCTACCGTGGAACTTTAAATACTAGTTGCATCCTGGGTGTTAAATAGTACTGTTATCCTACAGTAATATTCTTGGGGGTCAAACATTCATGCTATTGCTTTATTTCTAATTTCTAATAAAAATCAGTGCTAACTGATTTTAATGCTTTAATTTCTTTTAGGTTGCTGTATTTTGGTCATATCAAAGAATGTATTCACATGTGATTTTATAATCTAAATATGCAGCCCTACTTCTATTTATCTATTTGTTCAGTCTTTCCCAACTTGATACTTTCCAGATATGTTGAATAACATTCCAGTTATCCCCAATTACCCTACCAATATCCATATATAGTCTTCTAAAAATGCTTTTGATGATTTGCCAGTCTCTGAAACTGTTTGTAGTGATCGAAACAACCAAGAGCTTATGAAGGAAGGGTTTTGCATCCATCTGTCAAACTTCCTGGCATAAAGAAATGCAAGAATGCCTTCCTGTGGTCAAATAACAGATTACAAGTACAGGTAGTCCTCTACTTAGGACAATGGAGCCCAAAGTTTCTGTTGCTAAATGAGTCATTTGATAAGTGAGTTTTGCCCCATTTTACAACCTTTCTTGCTAAGTGAATCACTGTGGTTGTTAATTTAGTAACATAGTTGTAAAGCGAAATTGGCTTCCTCATT